CAAACAGCCTAAAAACTTAATCCATAAAGCCCAGGGAAAAAAAGAACAAAATTGACTTTCCATTGAAGTTTCCATTAATAGCTTCTTTAGAACAACTTAACAAAAGCTATGAAAACCGCTCGGTTAAAGCTTCAGCCTTCCCAAAAAGATTGGGCAACAAAATAAGACAATTAGACAAGTGTAGGTGGTGTCTGGTGGTGAGTGGAGTAAGCAAAACAAGGATTACCCTGAATGCCCAATTTAGCTTTATATTAATTTCCTCACATTTCCCCCTCTCCAAGTTGTATTTAGTTTGATATAAAGCAAGAGACAAATACAAAGTTGAGGGAAAGTTAAAAAGAATTTTACAAAATTTGTTATCATATGTCCCTCAACTTTATGTTTCTCTCTTATTTTCCTTAGTAAAGAGGTGAAACTTATATGTTCAACAACAATGGAAGATAAAAAACAACATTGTAGCAAAGGAGTTGAGCAAAAGATTAGCCTTCCAAATGCATGAAATGTGAGCTTGGCTTTATTGAACTTTTTGGCATCACCTCCATGCATGGATGCCTTTGGATTACTCAATCTTCGTCTAAGTTACCATTGATGTTACTAATTAACAAAATTGTGATCATTCAAGTTTTGATAGTAATGCATCTTGTTAAAGATGAAAGTATACTTTATGAGAAAATAAACTACTGACTATGTAACAGTCTAATATGATTATTTGAGATCTTAATTTAACGTGCAGTTAATATTAATGAATGCATCATAGTAGAATTTTATTTAGGGAAACAAGTGCAAGTACAAAAAATAAAACAAAAAAAAAAGGATAATGATCACTATACACATGCAATGAGGTAAGTTTTTGTTTGAAGCAAATGAAAAAGAAAATCCATTTTAAAATGCACATACCTACTACATAAAATACAGTATTTTGAAATAAAAAAAAAAGGAATATAAAATACATTTGTTTTGACAAGTAAGAATATAAAATACTTGATACACATGTATTTTCCCCGCATTTGCAAGTGGCCACACCCAAGCTGATCACTTCAAAAATAAACTAACTTAAACAGAGACAACAACAGCATCTTATGGATATGTTTTTTTTTTGTTTGTTTGATAAGGACCCATGTGACAACTGTTAATATTGCTCTCTCTCTCTCTCGATCTCGATCTCGATAGACCCATGAAAAGGCGCAACCAAATCTTTCTAGAAAGCCCACATACTAAATGCCTCATATCCTATGACCTAATTCTAATTGTGACATGTCTTAACTTTTAACTCACCAACTAGCACTGTGGCCATGATCCTGGCCTTATTTTGTGTTAAAACCTCTAAATTAGATCAAGTATTGCTCATATTAGTATGCTTTACTGTTAAAACCACATTAGTTTGCTTCATTAATATCTTTTTAACAGTTCTAAAGGCTGCATTTTAATGCGGTGAAAAAATCTATCATGTAAAAGTCAGTTGATAAAAAAATTCATCGTGTAAAAGTCCACTGATTTAAAACTGCTTGGATCGTTGATAATTTTTAAGTGTAAATGAATATAAAAGTATATCGATTTTATCGATGTAACTTTTATATGAGAAATAAACAGCTGCAAAAATAGATCGAGTATAAAATTTTACACCGATCCACTTTTACACCAGAAACAAACAGGTATAAATGCAAACCAACAGCTGAATTTTTATATTGATTCACATTTACACCCTTAATCAAACACAGACAAAGGCTCATTTTTATATATGCCCCATGGACTCTAACACAGCCACATGCTGGTGTACTAAAAAGTTGGCATGGACCCAATTTTTTCTATATCTTAGAATTTAATATAACCAAAAGAATAATAAGTGGGACCCTGGTGATTGATTCCTTCACTATGAACAACAACCTATCTGAGTGAAACATATTGTGAAGGAATCCACACACACAGAGGACTCAATAGCAATAACTGATTAACTATCATGTTCCCCAAAACCAGCCTTTTGACTCGGTGGAGTCAACTTGTTTCAATTGACAACTTAGTTCCAAGCAATTCAATTCCTCAACTCTTTCTTTAAACTTAGACATGGACACATACTACTAAACCCACCTGCAAATCCATCCATTTTCTCTAGACTGACCGACTGACCTGATATCACCCAACGCGAATTCATTGCTTTTGCTTTACAACAACAAACCAACCAACAAATTGGGCTCATCTGCTCATCCATTTTAGGCTTTTTGGGCTTGATTGGCATCAACCCGGTTAGGTTTCGGGTTGCACATTTTCCAACCCGACCCGGAGCTGAACCTGACCACCACCACCACCACCCCAACCCAACCCCATTACCACTTTACCAAATACCACCACCCCATAGCAACACATCATGTGAAAGTCTTGGGCTTCATAACCGAGGAACGACAACCCATGTGAAACAACCCAGAAAAGTCTTGGCCTTGGGTCCAAAATGTTACAACCTAGTAAGTAGTAACAAAAATTTGTACCCTCCAGTACCCATTCACAAACATGGGTCGCCATCCTTCCATAGTCCAGACAAGTTTTGCTTACTTCACAACTCCACCAAAATTATTTACTAATCTGGGCCATTCATTTAGTGGGCCATCTCTTGCATGATGGGAATATACCCAGAAGAGATGTTCCCCCACCATCACTCATACATATCTACTAACAATGAAAAGGCCCAAGATGATTTCGGATTCACCAATCAAAATTGAACAACAGATACTAACTATTAAGGTAAGCTCTCTGCTTTCTCCAAGAATTAGTATACTCAACTGAATGATTGTAAGTAAGCATCAAGTGTATTGACTTCATTTCTTTTTTTTTTTTTTTGATCTACATAATAGGAGGGGACCATGAAGCCATGAACTAGTGATTCCAGCTGAGTCCAGACATTGCATGCGTGCAACCTTGTTCCAATGAACTCAACATGATTCATTGTATTCTTTCCAAAAAGCCATATTCAATTCTGAGACCTAAACAGCACCCACCCCTCCAAGTATATACTACTATATGTTGCCTAAAGCTGACTTCACTCAGCCTTGTTTTCTTCTATTTAATATTCAAATGAAAGGAACATTACAGTCCTACAAATCAGTGTTTAGAGAAAGGCGGTTGTGGTGAGGCATGGGGTGCAAGGTTCAAAAAAATCGTTATGTATCGGCTAGTATTGGTTGATATGTATCATATCGGGCCTTCCCAATATGCCCCTACAGGGGTTGTGTTGAGTCAGGGCCTGGTTCAAAGGGTAGTCGGGACTTAAACCAGCCCTCTGAACCAAAATAAAAAAAAAAAAAGTAAAAGCTAAAAAATAAGGGCCAATATTGGCCGATACACCCATTGATACTTTGAACCTTGATGGGGTGGTTGCGCCTCAATTTTGATGAGGCTTACGCCTCATTTTTATGTATCAATGGATTTGAAAAAAAAATAAAAAAGTAATATATTAATTTATTTGCTTCAAAATGTTTTCTCTTAATTATTATATATAATAGGGTAGAGCTTTGATCAATCAAATATATATATATAAGAAATAAATTCTATTAATATAAAGAAATAAATAAGAAGAATAGAAATTTAGTAAATGGATTATTTTAAGTTACAAGGCAATTCTAATCTATATTTATTTGGACTAAAAAAGCAGCCCAGTCCACAAGGCAATTTTAGATGGATTGGACCACTTTTTTCTGGTAAAGATTCCAGAGCTAAGCCATAAGCCAATATCTATTATATCTCTTATGTTCTAAGCCCTAACCTAATTGCCACTGAACATCTCTAGACAAATGGGTCAGGGCCCATGATAAACAATATATGGGCCCCAGATGTGAGGTAATTCCTCATGGACGGTGATGGTGGTCCCTGTATTATGACCGTGGACTCAGGAGTCCAGGGCCCCTATTGGTATCTTCAATCGAGACAGATTTACCCCATATTGAGCAGAGATTTTAGGCAGAGATTGCTCTAGATTTCCTTCTCTTTTCTACCCAAATTAATATCTTCTACCCCAAATGAGAGTCCCGATATCCTATACATTTTCATGTACAACGACAAACATGAATGAAAGATTTGTACGTGCGAACAGTTTAATCAGCATGAAATTACTTTCATTTCTATGTTTTCCAAAATTTTTAAAATTAAAAATAAATTGAAACAAAAAAGAGGGAGTTATTGGTAAGTTCCGGGTGATGCTTATGATTTTTATCACACATACGGAATAATTGCAGAAGATGAAGATTGGATGGATAAAAGAGAGAAAAACATGGGCAAAGGGGTGTTGAGAGAAGAAGAAGAAGAAGAGAGAGAGAGAGCTCTCTAAATGCTCTTTTCTCCTGCCTTGCTTTCCATTTTTTCTTCTCCCCTTTATTAGCTTGATCATGTTTTCAAGATTAAAACTCTAGTTATCTATCATGATCTCCTAAATTCCTGGCAATATCATCTTGGGAGAAACCTTCTATAATTTTAGTACTGGAGGGTCAATTAACCAGTAAAAAAACACAAATTTGTCATTATCGTTATTTTCTTTTGTTTTATAAATTGAGAGAATGACCAATCAACCTAGAATCAGAATTTATAGGCTTAAAGTTCTGTCAGGATAGGTGCCAGTTCAAAATTGATGCCAATTCATTGACGGGATCCTTCGAATATTTATAATTATGCAATGAAAATCAGAAATCTGTATTGGGCAAATCTGTATTTCTCCATTATAAATTTTACTTTAAATGAGACATCTTTTATATTAACCGTGTGGTGGTATTTCATGCTGATTAAATTGTTCACACGTACAAATCTTTCAACCCGTATTGGCATTGACGTGTGTCAGTCTCATAGATCGTATAGAGAAATTTATAGGATATTGGGACTCCCCAAATGAATACTAAGAAGTGAGAGAGAGAAAGAGAGAGAGAGAGAGTAATATCAAAGAACAATAGGCCTTCAAAAAAATATCAAAGAACAATATTTTTCCTAAGTTCCAACTTTCAGTTGTCTCCACATTTTTCTCCTATAAATAGGGAACCAATAGAGAGGATTAGATCACATGATTCACCTCAAAGATCAAACCTTTTCGTGAAGTGAACTGGTCTTTCTAATCATCTTTGTTATCGATCAATAGGTATCTTCACCTATGAGCCACCCATATAGCCATAACCCATTCATCATCTTTCTGTTTACAGTTTAACCCCCCAACTGCTTTTCATATATTATTTTGATTCTCATTGGGTTACATTTTTGTCCTAATTTATTTTATTTTTTTTTTCTTTTTATTTGTGTGGCAGCATATTGTCGATTCAATTGGCTCTATCTCAACTCAATGCATATTTTGTTCCCTTTTCTAATCTGTGTCCTAAAACGAAGTGGGTGACTGGGTGTTGGTGCTGGATATTTAAGGGTGTGACTCCTGGTTCGCTTTGGCAGGCTTTGATCTCTTTTCGGTTGAGAGGGGCGTAGTTCTCGTGCGTTGATAACTTTTCCTGTGAAGGGTGAGCGGTAGTTTTCGTTTTTGATCGATAACAGGAGTGAGTGAGAGAGGAATTGACAAAGAAGGAGAGAGAGGCAGAGAACGAAGTTATGGCTCGTAACTTAGAGAAGCTGGCGTCGATCGACGCTCAGCTTAGGCTCTTGGTTCCTGGGAAGGTCTCCGAAGATGACAAACTGGTTGAGTACGATGCGCTGCTTCTGGATCGCTTCCTCGACATCCTTCAGGATTTACATGGGGAAGATCTAAAGGAAACGGTAATCTTCTTCGTCTCCTTAGTTTTATTTGTTTAGAGGGAGCTTTTGGTTCAATTCGGGTCTGGATTGAACTCCGTACTCAATCAATGGAACACGGCAATTTAGTGGATACCCATCTCTGTGTGCACTCGAGTTTTGATTTTTTTTTTTTTGCTTTTCTTTGTGCTTAAATTGACTTATTATTTGATTTTGAGGAATACCCATTATGGCAAGTGTGGAACAAAAAGGCACAAGATTGATATTCATCTTATGTCTCGATTTGTAATTGGTTTATGTGGATGGGTTCATGAGAATCTGCTCTTCCAAGTAGTTTAGTAGTGTTAGAGTTTCTGCAAATTTGTTTGTTCGTGATGCAGTAATACTCGCGACATAGCATGTGAATACGTTGATGATAGATAGAAAAACTGGTTAATAAATTCTTGTCGCTGTTCTCTTCTGTCATATAAACAAGTTCTTATGGGACTAATCTAGTTGGTAGTTTATGAAAAGCTTTCCTGTCATATTGTGTATTACTACGTTCTGCCTTTTAGTTTGACTTTAGCTGTGTTATATATGTTCTATAGGTTCAAGAGGTTTATGAGCTTTCTGCTGAGTATGAACGGAACCATGATCCTCAGAAGCTGGATGAGCTTGGAAAAGTTTTGACAAGTCTGGATGCAGGGGATTCCATTGTTCTTACGAAAGCATTCTCACACATGCTTAACTTAGCCAATCTGGCTGAGGAGGTTCAGATCGCTTACAGACGGAGAACCAGGCAGAAAAAGGGTGATTTTCATGATGAGAGCAATGCAACAACTGAATCAGACATTGAGGAGACTCTGAAGAGACTTGTTGTGCAGCTAAAGAAGTCTCCAGAAGAAGTCTTCGATGCCCTGAAGAATCAGACAGTGGATTTGGTCCTCACTGCACATCCTACTCAATCAGTTCGTAGATCCTTGCTCCAGAAGCATGCAAGGTTTTCACCTCTCTTTAATATTTCTTTTTTGTTAACATTTTAATGACAGAAAAAAGGTCATAAAGAGACTTTGTGTGTGTTCTGCTTATATTCCTTCTATTCAGAGGATGTTACACTGTCTTCTGCTTATATTCTTTCTATTCCTTGCTTTTCCGACATTATGTATCAATTTCTTCCTTCTGGTCTCAGGATAAGGAACTGCTTAGCGCAGTTGAATGCCAAAGACATTACTCCTGATGATAAACAGGAGCTTGATGAGGCTCTACAGAGAGAGGTAAAGCAATAGCTGACAATATGATGATATTTTCTTTTCAATGCTATTAGACTCTTGGTTCCAATATCTCTTAACCTTTCTGAATGGTTTTTTTAGTGAAATATCAACCTGAGTTACCACACCAGTTTTTGACTTCAATATTTTCTCATTTCCCCTCTTTGTTTATATTCTTCAATTTTAGCCTTGTCAATAAAATATCTCTAAAGTACTGATAACTAACTTTCTTTTCCAAAGTGTGCAAGTCAGATATCCAATTTTAAGAGTTTAAACTGCATTTGCCTGGGCCTCTTCAAATTTTAGTAAATGTTCAACCTGAGCCCACCCTAGTTGAGATCGTCTGATATCATTCCCTGATAGTACTCTCTGATATCACACAGGAGATGAAAACAAATTGGTCCTCTTCTTGAGTGCAAGGTGAGGATTGAGTATGCAGGGATGTCTCTGCTCAGATATTCCATGAAGTGTTTCAATCCTCTCCTTAATTCAAGGAGATGACTGATATGTCTTCATCTCCCATGTGGAATTAGAGAATATTCTGGGAGTGATATCAGAGGATCATGTTTTTTATTCTTCATTTGCTATTTAAATACCATCCTCAACAGAATATCTTGTGGCATCTAAGGCTCCTATTTGGCCTTGTTTCTCTAGCATAGCTACATGGTTATTATCACATAACCTAATTTTATTTATAATGTACTTGTATTAGTATTATAATAATCTTTCCTTTCATAGATTCTTCTTCTTCATTTCAGTTTCTTAGGGTCATGGTTCATTGTACCTTTGGCTGCAAAGATTTGATATGAATCTTATTGTCTGATACAGCAATATTCAAAGTACTGCTATCACAAACTCAAAGAGCTACTATTCAATGATTTCATTTGTATTTCATCCTTGGTTTAGATGACCAACTCTTTTATCAACGGTCACTGATTGCATAGTTTCTCCAAATTTAAGTTTTTTAATCTCTTTTATATTTATGCAATAGAAGGTTATATGTTGCTATATTAAGATCTGTGCCATAGTGTTAACTACTTTTCTTTAACTTAAGGTTCATATACCAGAAGCAATATGGCTTTTCCTTTATTAAATGCTGAAATCTTACTTAAAAAAAAAAAATTCGCTCTGTCCATTTCCTTTTGTTTTAGCTGACTATCCAAACCAGAATCCTATGACACAAGTATGTACCATTCCGAAATGTTTTTTGCCACCTAATGATGTAAAAGAAAAACTGGGCTTTAATAATAAGTGTGTAGCCATTTTGAGTATGAAATGTCATACATTCAGAATTTTTCAAAAGATGGCAAATGCATACTTGAATTAGAAGCACTATATATTTGCTTTTCTATATATCTGTTTTGAATTCTTTCTCATTTTTCTGCAGATTCAAGCTGCATTTCGTACGGATGAGATACGGAGGACTCCTCCAACTCCACAAGATGAAATGAGGGCAGGAATGAGCTACTTCCATGAGACAATCTGGAAGGGTATCCCAAAATTCCTACGGCGTGTAGACACTGCTTTGAAGAACATTGGGATAAATGAGCGTGTTCCTTACAATGCCCCTCTCATTCAGTTCTCTTCTTGGATGGGTGGGGACCGTGATGGTATATTTCTTTACCACAGTCAATAATTTGATAATCAGGTTCTTTCATGCATTATCTTAATAGTTGAAATATATAGTTTTCTGTTGAATAGTTTATTTTTATTAGCTAAAGGAAGTTCACATTGAATTTATCTGGGGGGTAGGATGGGGTTAATAGGCATCAAATCTCATACCTGAAATGTTGTAAGTTTTACTTTGAGACTTATAGATATGAAGACTGGTATGGAATTTCCCATAATTATAGTTACTCTCATGTTTTCATTTATGTTATGAATGCATCAAATACGTCAAGAAGAAAGATATTCATTTACCATGATGCTTATTGTGCTTCTGTTAATTATAGTTATTATGTTTCATTTTATTGGGCAGAAATTTCAAAACAATTGAGTTTCCTTACAATTTTACCTCTCAATTAGTAGTTACGTTGAGGTTAATGAAGACATGATACAATAATACTCTGTTTAGTTAATTAACATTTTTATTATGGAATGTAGGAAATCCAAGGGTAACTCCTGAAGTTACAAGGGATGTATGCTTATTGGCAAGAATGATGGCTGCTAACTTGTACTATTCACAGATAGAGGATCTTATGTTTGAGGTATCAAAAAGTTTGTGTTCACTCTTGCTCATCATTCTGCCTTGTGCACAGCACATAAGCATTTATCCTTTATGGGAAAGCTGTTGCATGGTGCATTCTTCTGTTCTTTGCCTATTCTAATTTACTTCTATTATTGCTTTCTTGTAGTTGTCCATGTGGCGTTGCAGTGACGAGCTTCGTGCCCGTGCAGATCAACTCCATAGGTCCTCAAAGAAAGATGCAAAACATTATATAGGTATCTAATTGGTGGTGGTGGGATTCATTTTTGATTCACATCTGCATTAAAATTTAAACATAGAAGAAGAGCACATCTAACTTGGAAGGGTTGAGTCAGAAATATTGAATCACCAAAAACTGCCAAAATTTAAGCTTGTTTTCTGTGTAACATTCTAAAACCATATATTTTTTAAAGAATATTTTAAAACATATCTATTTCCTGACAACTTAATCAAGTAAACATTTTTCCTTCAAACAGAAATTTTATTCATCACGAAGGAGGAAATATTCCATTTAAACAGTTTTCTTGCTTAGTGATCCATTTGTTAGGCTTTAATTGCTCTTCTATCTTTTTCTGGATGCAGAATTCTGGAAACAGGTTCCTCCAAATGAGCCCTATCGTGTTATTCTCAGTGATGTGAGGGATAAATTGTATAGTACACGTGAACGTTCTCGTCATTTATTAGCCAGTGGAATGTCTGACATTCCTGAGGAGGCAACTTATACCAATATTGAACAGGTCTCTCCCATCTCACCGACTTAACTAATTTGTCTTGTTGAAGTTATGAAATAAGCTGTCATTATGCTATTGTTAGGTATAAAAATACACCTCTTTATTTATTGATACAGTGACAAATGTACCTCAAATTCATCATTTATTGGGTTCTAGGACAATCTTGTATATTGAACAAGCACAAGTACATTTGCTACTAAAGAAACTTTCTAGATAGAATTCAAAGAAACTAGTTAGTAAAAAAAAAAAGAAAATCTATTTGCCTTCAAACTTAAATTTTTCATGATGCTTTTCAAACAGTAGTTCCTTGTCATGGTTTCCAAAAACAAAAAGTAATGATAACAAAAATTCTGAGTTGGGCACATCTTGTTCTTATAACACCAGTATTGTGGAGTACACATTTCAATAAAAACATACCATGTATTAATTTTTATATTTTATCATTAAAAAAGGGGTATCTTTTGCCTTTTAACTAGGGATGTACTATCTGTACTTCTTCTAATTCTTCCTTGATAAAGTTGTTCTGACTGGTTATTGATAAAAAGATACACTCTTGTCTGTTACAAAAGTCCTGATATTGTGGCAACTCAGAAATAACTCTGTTATTATGTCTTTCTGCTGTCAATATCAAGTTCTAAGTGTGCCTATCTTTTCTTTTTCTCTCATGTAGTTCTTGGAACCTCTTGAGCTCTGTTATAGATCACTCTGTGCTTGTGGTGATCGACCAATTGCCGATGGAAGCCTTCTTGATTTCTTACGGCAAGTCTCTACATTTGGATTGTCACTTGTGAGGCTTGATATCAGACAAGAATCAGATAGGCACACTGATGTCATAGATGCCATTACAAAACATTTGGGCATTGGATCCTACCGGGAATGGTCTGAGGACCACCGTCAGGAATGGCTGTTGTCTGAACTGAGTGGGAAGCGTCCATTGTTTGGTCCTGATCTTCCAAAAACTGAAGAAATTGCTGATGTGTTGGACACCTTGCATGTCATAGCAGAACTGCCTCCAGACAACTTTGGGGCATACATCATCTCAATGGCAACTGCACCATCAGATGTGCTTGCAGTTGAGCTCCTACAGCGTGAATGCCGTGTTAAGAAGCCACTGAGAGTTGTACCATTGTTTGAAAAGCTTGGTGATCTTGAGGCTGCTCCTGCTGCTGTGGCTAGACTCTTCTCAATAGACTGGTATAGAAACAGGATCAATGGGAAACAGGAAGTTATGATCGGGTACTCGGATTCTGGGAAGGATGCTGGGCGTCTCTCTGCAGCTTGGCAGTTGTATAAGACTCAAGAGGAACTAGTAAAGGTTGCAAAACAATATGGAGTGAAGCTAACAATGTTCCATGGGCGAGGTGGGACTGTTGGAAGGGGAGGTGGTCCTACACACCTTGCTATATTATCTCAGCCACCAGACACAATTCATGGGTCTCTCCGCGTGACAGTTCAGGGTGAAGTAATTGAACAGTCTTTTGGAGAGGAGCACTTGTGTTTTAGAACACTCCAGCGTTTCACAGCTGCTACACTGGAGCATGGGATGCACCCCCCAGTCTCACCAAAGCCAGAATGGCGTGCGCTCATGGATGAGATTGCCATCCTTGCTACAAAGGAATACCGTTCGATTGTCTTCCAGGAGTCCCGATTTGTAGAATACTTCCGCCGTGTAAGCATTCTGAAAACACGTGCATTTTCTTGTCATCTTTAGACTAACACTTGTGGAGATTTAAATCTTTTGCCCATTGATTCCAGGCTACTCCGGAGCTAGAGTACGGTCGTATGAACATTGGTAGCCGTCCATCCAAGCGAAAACCAAGTGGGGGGATTGAATCACTCCGTGCAATCCCATGGATATTTGCATGGACCCAAACAAGGTTTCATCTCCCAGTGTGGCTTGGATTTGGTGCAGCATTCAAGCATGCCATTGGGAAGGACATCCGGAATATCAATATGCTGCAGGAGATGTACAATAAATGGCCTTTCTTTAGGGTCACCCTTGATTTGGTTGAGATGGTGTTCGCTAAGGGAGACCCTGGCATCGCTGCTTTGTATGACAAGCTTCTAGTCTCAGAAGATCTATGGCCTTTTGGAGAACGTTTGAGGGCCAATTATGAAGAAACCAAGAAACTTCTCCTGAAGGTATATTTTTTCCTGTTCTTTTTCCCTTGCCTTTAATAAAATCATGAGTTATTGGAGATTATATGTTAACTGACTCTCTCTGTTTCTGCATGCAGGTTGCTGGTCACAAGGATCTTCTTGAAGGTGATCCATACCTGAAACAGAGACTCCGTCTCCGTGATTCATACATCACAACCCTGAATGTATGCCAGGCCTATACGCTGAAGCGTATCCGTGAGCCAAGCTACGATGTGAAGGTGAGGCCACACCTGTCAAAGGAGATCACAGAATCAAGCAAGCCAGCTAATGAGCTAGTGAAGTTAAACCCAACTAGTGAATATGCTCCTGGCCTGGAGGATACCCTAATCTTGACCATGAAGGGTATTGCAGCAGGCATGCAGAACACTGGTTGATGCATGGTTGTTTTGTATTTCTCATATAAGGCATTTTCATTGAAACATTGCAAGAGCTACATCCTGTTTATCTTTATAATATAGCCCAAAGGGAAGAAGTTGGGCACTCTTTTGGACTGGAGCTTTAGCTGCAGCTGTATAATAAAAACATAGGCATAACGGCTCAAATATTGCCATATGAGAAATAAAACTGAATGTTTTGCTTTAATGCAAATATATATCCATCTTTTCTTGTGTTTTTCTGGTTCGCGATCTCTCTTTTATCTTTTCTTTTGGCTCTGCACTGCTATAAAACTTGAGATAATCAGTCCTTGTTAGGTTCAAATGTTATCTGAATAGCTGAATCAGATGGAAAGGTTTGTATTGGCATCAATATTTAACACTATTGAAATCTTGAGCTGAGTGGCGTTCCCGGATTCAGAGCTTTCTTACTTGAGATGTATCCTTGGAGCCATCTTCCCAGTTATAGAAACAACTGAACCGAGTTTTAACTTTTCAAGCCTCGCTTAAGGTTGTCATCGGTGGAGCAATGTCTTGCTTTTGCTTTTACTAACTAAAGAATGGAAATAGAGCTTAATTATTTAACACTGAAATCTCCTTAGGATGGATAAATGAACCCAAAAGAACATCATAAACATCGAGATGAGTCATGAAAGAAGACCATGCTGCAAGAATTCCGCTTGGTGACTGACAGATTTCTGAATTTCATCACCCAAAATAGAACAGTTGCCGGAAGATAGTTGATGTAGGCGCACATGGCCTTGACCAATAGTGGGCTTACATGTGTCTGACGGTGGTGCTCAGAGCGGGCCCAATCAGGGTGCGTGCAGAGCATAAGTCGGCGTGCAACCCAGAACCAATGGCACGGCCGCACTTGGTGACCTCAGATGACCGTGCCCCCCGCAAATGGACCACATCCTGATCGTTTGAGCCCACCTACCTCCAATCGACCGCAAGTATAAATAGGGGGCAACCTTCTCAAGGTAAACATCTGGAATCAAGAACTTGGACTTAAGAACTCCTAATTTTTCCTTTGTGGCCTCGTCTGAGTGTTTCCACCTCAAGCCTCGTCCACCTCGCGTTGCACCGTACTAATTTGACCGTCGGAGTCTTCGCCTCGAGTACCAACCCCAGGCCTCTGACGTTCTCTCTCCTTTGTTCCTCACAGGACTAGCCTACCAGCCCTCAGTCACTCCAGGCCTTGGACTACTTGACCACGCCTCAGCTCGGAAGCGAATTGATAGTGTTGCCCTTGGCCCATTCTGACCAGTAACAATTGGCGTCGTCTGTGGGAGCGTTGCCAAGACTTCCCTCAATTAAACTTACGCTCTAAGACACCTAAAGAATTAACTCCTAAGCTTCAGCCAACATGGCAAGAAATACAAGGAACACTTAAAACATGGTCACGATAGACCAGTTTCAAGCGGTCCTAGACCGACTCGACAACCTCGCGTAGAGGCTAGACAAGGTGAGGCGCCTGACAGGAGGCCGCCCTCAGGGTAGCCACCCCGCTGGAAGCCTAGGGCACCATGGCGAACGCGCATCTCCGGACCCATTAGCCATCGGCCCAGTCTGATCCATCAGGGCCAATCCCTCAAACTCTGACAGCAACCGGAACACCAGCTAGCCATCAGGGACCTCTGACCCCCTAGATGAAGAGAGGAAGAATCTACACAAAGTTGCGATCATTGTCGAGACCAGGAACATCACTACCGTCGTCGACAAGAGAACTCTTGGGATGAAGGCGGGTAATCGGGCCACCACAGCCACCCTTTGAAGGCCGAGGGCTGACGTCGTGCCTCTCCCTTGTGCGTCTCGGACCTCTAAGACCTCCTGAACAATAGGCGGGCTAGAAGAAATGGACATGCGACCACATCAGAATACTCGGGGAACTGGGCCGACCCTTACCAAGTCTAAGAGAACCAGGACAGGGCTCAAGCCCCCCTCAACCAAAGAATTGTTAACCTACAGGTGCAGCTCGACGCCATCAAGGACGAACTCTGCCAAGTTAGAGAGAGTCGAGCCGAAGCCTCGGCCAGTCAAGATGGGATCCCTTCACCTTAGACATCATTGTTGAGCCTCTCCCATCGCACTTCAAGGCACCCACGCTCGAGATGTACGGCGGAACATTAGACCCCGATGACCACCAAGAAAGCTTTAAGGCGCTCATTCTCCTCTATGGATATTCCGACACCTTGACATGCCGAACTTTCCAAGCAACCATCAAGGGGGCAGCCCACCGATGGTTCTCTGGGCTCCCACCTTGGTTTATCGGTTCATTGGAACAGTTCACCAACCTCTTCCTCGCCCATTTCATTAGAACAGGAGATGCCAGAAGAGTGTTGTCTCACTCATGGCCATCCAACAGAAGTATAGTGAGAGCCTGAGGTCCTACATTGACCGCTTCAAGAAGGAAGAATTCGAGGTCCGGGACCTCGACTCCATGCACACCGCATCAACGGCCTCCTGCCAGGTCGGCCCTCAAGTGCTTGGTAGCCAAGACCCTGCCGAAGTCCAAGGCAGAATTCCTGAAAAAGGCTTAGAAGTACATCGCCACCGATGAGGCCTCGACCAACAATCACTAGGAAGGAGAGGTCAACCGCCATCACAAAGGCCCGAAGAACAAGAGAAGAAATGGAGGACGGTCGCAATAGCAACAACAACAACATCAGCAAGGACAACAAGCCGCCAACCTTGGCCCTGTCTTATAGCAAGTATACGCCACTCAACTAAACCCGAACACAGATCCTCATGCAAGTAGGCAAAGAGGAGTACATGAAGTGGACAGAGAAGATGAAGAGGAACCCTAAGAGGGGAAACCCGAAAAAGTACTACAAGTATCACTGTGGCACTAACCACGACACCAAGGACTGCTATGAGTTAAAAAATGAAATCAAGTCCCTCATCCACCATGACCATCTAAAGTAGTAAGTACCTAGGGGCGAGGTCGGTGCCTCGTCCTCGCAGTAGTAGCAGCAACAACAGTTATCCGGCATCATAGATGTCATTGTCGGGGGCACGACCTTGGGTGGAGCCTCGGCCTCGGCCTGCAAGGTCTACGCCAGGCAGTTGAACATCGAGAGGCCAGCCCCTAAGAAGCAGAAGCAAAGTGAAGCCCTTGCGTTCACATACGAGGATCAAAACGGGATCACAGACCCCCATGACGACGCACCTATGGTATCTATCGTCGTAAATTTTATGGTGAAGAGGATATTGGTGGATAGTGGTTCCTCAACTGACATCCTCTTCTATGATGAATTTAAGAGAATGAAGTTGGCGTCCGAGTGCCTCTAGCCCGCCAACATGCCGCTCGTCGGCTTCTCCGGGAATGTGGTTAGACCGAAGGGAAGAATCACCCTGCCAGTCACGGTAAGGACAAAACCTCGACAGGTGACGAGGAGGAATGAGTTTCTAGTCATGAGGATCGGCTCCCCTTACAATGCCATCTTCGGGAGGCCAACCCTTCACACACTCAAGGCAGCCATCTCCTCCCACCACCTTGCCTTCAAATTCCCCACCGAGCACAATGTGGCGGCATTGAAGGGTAAGAACAAGGAAGTCGAGAAAACAGTCTATGTTGAGTCCAACCTTCCCCTAGAGAGCCTATCCGAATTGGTAAGTTTCCTCAGAACCAATGCCAACGCCTTTGCTTGGTGTTCCCCTAACATGCCCGGAATTGACCCTTCGGTCATTACTCACAGGCTTAGCGTGGACCCGAGCTCTAGGCCAGTTTGATACAAAAAGATGAACTTTGCACCGAAGCGATGGAAGGCTATATGAGAGGAAGTTGACAAGGTACTTGATGCTAGCTTCATCCGAGAGGTACATTACCCTAATTGGTTGTCCAATGTGGTTATGCTGAAGAAAGCTAATAGGAAATCGCAGATCTGTATTGAGTATTGACTTTATAGACCTCAACCGATCTTGTCACAAAGACAATTTTCCTTTTGTTGAGGATAGACCACCTCATCGATGCCACCACAGGGTATGAGCTACTTAGCTGCATGGATGCCTTCTCCGGATATAACCAGATCAAGATGCACCCCGAAGATGAAGAGAAGACCCCATTCATCACCAAACACAACACGTACTATTACAAGGCCATGCCCTTCGGCCTCAAGAATGTTGAGGCTACTTACTAGTGCCTCGTAAACAAAGTTTTCAAGCACTAGATGGGGAGAAATGTTAAAGCCTATGTTGATGATATGATGGTGAAGAGACTAAAAACCGATCAATACACCTCAAACCTAATTAAGACCTTTGATACCTTGCAGAGATACAACATGAAGCTCAATCCTAGCAAGTGTGCCTTCGATGTCACATCGAGCAAGTTCCTAGGCTTCGTCGTCACACAACGAGGTATAGAGGCCAACCTAGAGAAAATCCAAGCTATAATCGAAGTGACACCACATCGGCCGGTCAAGGAGACTCAAAGGCTTACTGGCTGAGTAGCTGCCCTCAGCCACTTCATGTCAAAGTCAGTCTACCGCTGTTCACCCTTCTTCCGGGCCATCGAGAAATTGAAGGACTTCCAATGGACGGAAGAGTGCCAGCACGCCTTTGAAGAACTGAAGTCCTACTTTGCCTAACCTCCCCTCCTCACTCGACTACTCCCAGGAGACATGTTGTACCTATACCTCTCTACTGGGGATGAGGCCATTAGCTCGATACTGATCAAAGAAGATGGAGTGCAGAAATTGATTTACTATGTCAGAAAGGTCCTCTGTGACGCTGAGACCCAGTATCCCGAGGTAGAAAAACTAGCCTTCGCTCTCGTGGTCTCAACCAGGAAGCTCATGCCATATTTCCCAGCCCACACCATCACGGTCCTGACCAACCAACCCCATAAAGTCATTCTTGCCAGAGGCCTCAGCACGACTGATCAAGTGGGTTGTTGAACTGTCTGAGTTCAACCTCCAGTACCAGCCGAGACTTGCAATCAAAGCACAAGCCTTGGCTAACTTCGTGGCAGAGTGCACCTTCAGTCGAGCCCCTCGCCACGCACCGGAAGTAGAAGAGGAAGAAAGGCCTCGGTCGGCCAAAGGAGCCCATCCTACCTGGAAGTTATTTGTTGATGGATCATTCAACTCTAAGAGAAGTGGAGCCGGCCTCATACTCTTCACCCTATACAACACCGAAGTAGAATACACGTTGAGGTTTGACTTCTCGGCATCCAACAATGAAGCCGAGTATAAAGTCCTCCTTGCCGGACTACAGCTCGC